TAAATTCGTAGTATTATAATGTGTTTTATTTAACCAAAACTTTATATATATTTGGGAAGGAAGTGAGTAGGAGCTCTTTATTCTATCTTGTTATGTCTAATGTTTGATCGTCCATTTTATTTTAATTTTTTATAGTTAGTACTTTATACGATGATTTATTTGTTTTACTTCTTTATAATTTTTTTTAATATAACGGCGGTCAAATGTTGAAAAAAATCAATTTTAAATGAGGTGGAGATAGAATTAAATTTGAAAATATATTGTTCACTCAATTTTTTAAAATGAATATTCGGGATGCAAAATTTTTACGAAAATATACCATCGATCTTGCACAACCGTTGCGCGAAAATAACATACACGTGATGTCGTGGGCGGTATCGCGCAGTAAAAGTGCGAGACCGCGCGGTCTCGCTGAATGGAAGAGCGAGACCATCGGTCTCACCAAATCAAACAACGACATTATCCAACGGTTTCCATTTGATTTGTGGTTAATTACTTCATTAACAATTAAATAATAATAATAATTAGTGATTAATTATCCTAATTAGCATTTAATTAATAACTAATTAAATCGGCATGGCACCGGTATCGCTAATTGCTTGACCGAGACCGTTCGGCTTCGCTTTTACATCCCGTGGGACCGTGCGGTCTCGCGATGTTGCTGTGCGAGTCCGCGCAGTCTAGCATTTTCACCGCGCGATGCCGACCGCGATGTCATTCTACGCCATTTCCGCACAAACCGACGGTATATTATTGTAAAAAAAAAAGTTTGCATCCTGAATATTTATGAGAAAAAAATAGAATGAAATTATATTTAAATTTTATTCGACGGAGACACGGAGTGAGTTGGACTTTTTTAGCCATCGGATCGATCGATGTGGACCGGGCGGCGCTGTAGACGCAGTGATGATGCGCAGCGCGCGGCGTCGGCGTGGGCGTCGGGGGCCCCCGCCCCGGCCGGCGGTACGCGAGCCGTACGCGCGCGCGCCCCATCTCGTGATTAGCCAAAGCCCCCGGACGCCGCGTGGAGCTCCGTCGTACCACCTCCCACCCTCTCCACCCAAACCACGATTCCTTCCCATCCGCTGCTGCTATTATTCCACCCTCCTTTTCCCTCGTCTCTCCTCCCAGATCTCAATCGCACGCCGTACGTTATCACTGTGAATCAGGATAAGATAGCGTACACGTGTAACAGTGCCCCTCCATAATCTCAGCCTCCCACCCCCGTTCCATTTACAGCAACAAATATAGCACAATAAAGTAGGAGTAAAGATTTTCAGCATAATAATCTCACCGTGATCGTTTATTTCCCCGCGAAAAAAAAAATCTTTATCTTGCAGCTGTGTTAATTTGGCCGCTCTCGCTGTGCAACGTCGCCATCGGTGCACGCAATCAGTAGTACTGCGCGCTGCGCTATGGGCATCCGCTTGGCCGTTACCAAAATTTGGAGGCGTGTGCGAGCGGTGTCTCCCATTTCCGGGCCAGATACGTGCCATTTTGGCCCCCGCGCGGTTGCACGTCCACTTTGGCTGACCTCACGCCCCGATTAATTGCGACCCGCTGCGTTATTTCTGCAGCGTCCGTTTCGTCCAAGAGCAGAAATTTTTAATTAAAGAAACCGTCACGCCTGGATCGCGCCGAATTGAAACAACGGAGCACTATACGTGGCTCGCTCGCGTGGGGATCGAACCGTGTGTGTGTGTTTGTGTTTGTCGCGACGCGTGACGGCGAGACCAGCGGCCGGGAGGAGCCGGGACGGCAAGGGAACGGATCCGTCGCCTCACTCGGTCGCTCTCTCGTTTCTGTGATTTGTGACTGTCACGTACGGCTGGATCGGTCGCGTACGTGACATCACATCCAGCTTGCGCGGTTAAGAGTTTTTCGATCTGCCAAAGAGAAGATCGGGAGAAAGATCGAGAGGTAGTAGGGTGGCCATACGCTACGACCAGTAGGAGTGTAACGCTAGAGTTAAGGAAAGAGACGTCCAGAGAAAAAAATGAAAATCCTTTTGGATGAATTTGTCCGTAGACCAGAGAGATTTTCTTGGATTTTCTTCCCCGAGAAAAAAAAAAGAGAAGAGCCCATAGTACGGCAATGTGCAATACTACTGCTACTACTATCTTTCTTCCAAAGGAGAAAAACGGGTGTTTTTGTTTCAGGCCTACAGGTGGGGCCGACCACTTCGATCTCCGGCGTTTTCTTCTGGTCGTCGCCTTGCGAGCCGCAGCCGGCGGTGGCCCGAGCGAAGAGCCAGCGTGGCGTGTGCATGCGCAGGGCGCGTGACTGCGTGTGCGGTGCGGTATGGCCACCCAGCAAACGTGGCGGAGAGCCATGCGAGTCGCCCGCCGGGTGGAGGTCCATCGTGGTTTGTCGCTAGCATCCGCTGGCTGAATTGCCGTACGATTGTATGACACCTCGCTAAAATCTGAGGGGCATCTATGCTTCTCCTTATTCTTAAAGAGTTAAATTTTAAATTTTTAACTTTAAATTTAGAGCTGATTTTAGGGTTTTTTTATCGAAATTCATTTTTTAATATTTGCTTTTAGATCGCTAAGAGCACGTATATAAAAATTTTATTCACAGTTACTCTTCGGTTAAAAATATGGTATTTGGCTTATTACACGAATAAACGAAACGATGGGGCCGTATCTTTCGACTACTGCTCATGCATTTACTTGAAAATAAACTCATTTGTCTTCATTTTAAGATAAACTCATTTTTCATTCATCCCATGCTCCACATCCATATAAAAATATAAATATGAAAAATTTAAAACTAGAAAAACCTTACTTTACCAAATCATAATACAATTATTTATCATTTATCTACTTCCAATACAACTTTTTTAATATATTTTTACAAACTCCGATACAAGCGTTTTTTCTAAAATAAATTTATTTTAAGATTAATAGTAGATAGCATAGATATATTTATTTTGGGACAGAGAGTAGTTAAATATCTCAGTAATGGGAAAAAGTGTAACCTATCTTTTTCTCAAATTGGAACTCGATCAAACGGTTTTATCTCTATCAAAAGGAAATGAAGTGAGATGAAATATTCCCACAAATTAACTAGGGAAGCAAAACAGCATTCAGATTCCTTCGAACTTCACTCCTGGTCAAATTTAGGAGCCGAAACTCTGTCAGATAAACCTCAACAGTATTTGAATTTGTATATGTGTTAGTTTTATACCCTCAATCTTGTAAATTGCATATGTCAATATGTAATCGTAATTGCCTAGGGCATCGAAGCCCTCATGTTGTCTACGCGATGATCAAAGAATATCAGCATGTCGAGATGCTTTTGGTGCGATGTGCTATTGGTCATGGGTGTAGAATCTATGGTAGAACTAATTGCACCGTCCAAAGCACCACGGTATCATCATCCTCCTTATCGACTGCACGAGGGAATCAAGGTGGGGGAGCTCGGGTCGAAGAATGGATATCTACAAATTTCAATTTTCGATTGCAGGGGCTTATAGAGAAGTCTGGAAGTAAAGTTTCGGCCTACGTTGAGAGCCATATCAATGTTCCGGAGCAACCAAAACAACATTTGTAACCATGAGTTCGGATTTAATTTCATGATTTATAAGATTATTGTCTAATTGATACTCCTCATGTCCTTAAAAAAAGTAAAGTTAAATTCTAATTACCAATATAGGCATATTACTCCCTCCATTCCTAAATGCTCGACGCCATTGACTTTTTAAAACATGTTTGATCGTTCGTCTTATTTAAAAAATTTAAGTAATTATCAATTCTTTTTCTATCATTTGATTCATTGTTAAATATACTTGTATGTATACATATAATTTTACATATTTCACAAAAGTTTTTGAATGAGACGAATTGTCAAACATGTTTAAAAAAGTCAACGGCGTCAAACATTTAGGGAAGGAGGGAGTATATGTCTAGATCAGAAGTTGGTTTTTTTGAAAGACAGATGATGTAGTTTGGTTCAAGTTTAACGATCGATAGTGTTTTTTAATCTATAAAATTATTTTTTTAGTACTCCATCTGTATTTTTTTAATGTATGACGCCGTTGATTTTTTAATCAACGTTTGACCATTCGTCTTATTCATAAAATACTTATGTCATGATTAAAGAACATTTGATGATAAATCAAGTCACAATAAAATAAATGATAATGACATAAATTTTTTAAATAAGACGAGGTCAAACGTTTATTAAAAAGTCAACGGCGTCGTACATTAAAATACGGAGTATTACTAACATGATCAAATAATCACTCGATTCAATGAGTTACCGTAGAAAGGTACCCGAAAAAAAGGAAAAAGGGAAACCGATAATGCAAAATCACAAAGTGCGATATCGCGAAACAAAGAACGATCAACGGGACAGTGATCCACGTACGGGAAAACCACCCATCTCCGGCGACAGTGATCCACGTATGGGAAAACCACCCATCTCCGGTGAACCATCGGCCAATCCGCGGCCCCGCTGGCCCACACGCATGCGTCCAAACAGCCCACCCCCCCCCCCCTCCCCCTCCTCTCCCAGTCGCTACCCAAGGTTTCTAGAACCTACAGGAATATGTCCAATCCCTGACGGACCCCAAACCTACCACAGTCTAGAGAGCCTCACGTACTAGCGTTACCCAAAACAAATCCGTAGGGCACCCCTACCCCCCACCGCGCGACGTGTCCTACCCCCGCTGCCCTCTCGCTCCACCTCGCCCCCCGCATGCCTGCCACCCTCCTCCCCTCACCGGCACGTGTCCCCACCTCCTGCTTGACGCCCCCGTCTCGCTGGAAGTGGGCCCGACTACGCGTGGGGCCCGTGCTGTCAGTGAGACGTGGCGCTGCGCCCACCGGGATGTGGGGAGCGAGAGACGGCGTCAGTTACCGGATGCGTGGTACTACTACGACCCCTCCGCCCACGGCGGAACCGTGGTTGGGGTTTAACGCAACCATGGTTCGACTCTATCCCGAGGTGGGAGACCGTGGTTAGTGGAGCAGTTTATAAGCGCGCACCGCTTCGGCTTCGTCCTCCTCGCCTTACACATCGCACCACTCTCTCTTACTCGTCCATACGCCGAGTCCACGAGATCTCGCCGTAGTCCATACACCGGTTGATCGGAGGTCGTGTTGCCGCCGGCGGTGGCCATGATGATGATGGGGGAAGGAGTCAGCAGCGTCCCGCCGTGGTCTCACCTCCCCGTGAGCGGAGTCGATGTACTCGGCGGCGGTGGTGGCGGTGGGGATGAGATGACGCCGTACGTGATCGCCGCGCTGCGGGATTACCTGCCGGCGAATGATGTCGGGGTGGGGGCTGACGAGGAGGAGGAGGCCGCGGCGATGGCCGCGGCGGTGGACGCGTACGCGTGCGACGAGTTCCGGATGTACGAGTTCAAGGTGCGGCGGTGCGCGCGCGGGCGGAGCCATGACTGGACCGAGTGCCCCTTCGCGCACCCGGGGGAGAAGGCGCGCCGCCGCGATCCGCGCAAGTACCACTACTCCGGCACCGCGTGCCCGGACTTCCGCAAGGGCGGGTGCAAGCGCGGCGACGCCTGCGAGTACGCCCACGGCGTGTTTGAGTGTTGGCTCCACCCGGCGCGCTACCGCACCCAGCCGTGCAAGGACGGCACCGCCTGCCGCCGCCGCGTCTGCTTCTTCGCCCACACCCCGGACCAGCTCCGCGTCCTCCCGGCGCAGCAGTCCAGCCCCAGGAGCGTGGCGTCCTCGCCGCTGGCCGAGTCCTACGACGGCTCGCCGCTGCGCCGCCAGGCGTTCGAGAGCTACCTCACCAAGACCATCATGTCCTCGTCCCCGACCAGCACCCTCATGTCTCCGCCCAAGTCGCCCCCGTCGGAGTCCCCGCCATTGTCGCCCGACGGTGCCGCGGCCATCCGTCGCGGATCTTGGCCCGGCGTCGGCTCGCCGGTGAACGACGTCCTGGCCTCGTTCCGCCAGCTCCGCCTCAACAAGGTGAAGTCGTCGCCGTCCGGCGGGTGGAGCTACCCTTCGTCGTCCGCCGTCTACGGGTCTCCCAAGGCCGCCACCGGCCTCTACAGCCTCCCCACCACTCCACTGGCTTCCACGGCAACGGTGACCACCGCCTCCAGCTTCATGCCCAACCTGGAGCCACTGGACCTCGGGCTCATCGGCGACGAGGAGCCGGTCCAGAGGGTGGAGTCCGGAAGAGCCCTCCGGGAGAAGGTGTTCGAGCGACTGAGCCGGGATGGTGCCATCTCCGGCGACGCCACAGCCTTCGCCACCGCCGGTGTTGGCCTCGACGTTGATTGGGTGTCCGACCTCATCAACTGAGGCTTCCAAGTCGCTATTGGAAGCCCCTTTTGTGAGCATCAAGGATGATGGCATGGAGGAGGAGAAGGTGGCGGTAAGAAGAAAATGATGGCACGACAAAAAAATCCTTCATTTTCTTTTGTGATTTCAAGTCAAGTTTCTACTAATTCCTGTACATATCTATCTCCCATGTGAATATTCATGGTTGGTGGAGAGGAGGCAAGTATGGAAAGATGGGTGGATTTGTTTTGGGGTTTTGAGGTAGTAGCAAAATTACCCACAAAAAAATTAGGTGAAAAAAAAAAGAGGAGTAGAAATGGAGGTGATTCAGTGTCTCCTGTGTGCATAGGGTGTGTGGAGGTGAAGGAAGCACGGAAGGAAGAAGATCATGGCGGAAGAAGATGGCCGGATTTCGGCCGCCGTCGCGGCGGCGGCCCTGCCTATTTCAGTGATTTCTGGGGGTTTATCCTCTGTTCATCGTTTGTTGCATCATCGACTAGCTGATGAAGATCGTCGATCGATTTCAATCAAGCCCCCCCTCTTGTTGATTTCCTATTTTGTTGATGTAATCTTTGTTTTGTTAAGAACCCCCAACAGCATATTTTGTACCTTAGCTTTAAATCTGAAAATCTTTTGCTGACTCATCTACCTATATGTGGTGATGAAGCCCCCCTCAATGTATTGTAATCACCTGCTTCAAGTAAATGATCCAATAATATTATGTTGCTATATGTTTCATTACTTCCTTGATCCAAATAACACTCATCTTAATATCTCTGTTCATTAGTGACGAAATCGATGTGTTTTGTGGAGCTGAGCGGGGGGCGATGGTGCCGGGGAACCTGCCGTGACAGAGACCGGCGGAGAGTGCGACGGCGGCGGAGTCGCCGGCGAGTCGTTGTCATCTTTGGTGGAATCGATGGTGCAGGATTGGCCTGCACATGCTGCAGCTCTCTGCTTCTTCCACCGCACCGCTGCTTGGCCACAAAAAGACACGTCCTCTTTATTCGAGTATGTACATGTACTACTACCCGGTAGCGTAGCGTCCGCTTTGCCTTTTGCAGGCAGTGCGACTGTTCATCGCCCGTACACGTCGCCGGAGTTGGGGAAGACGACGATGACGCCGGCGGCGGCGGCACCCGAATCTGACCCGGATCGATCGGATCGCGGCGACTCCGTCTCGAGACGAATGGGTTGGTGGGTTGGGTCGCGAACGCATCGGTCGGAGTCGGGGTCGGGGTGGGGGAGAAAATATCGGGTGCTTGTGTGTCCGGTTCCCACGAGACAGCGGGCGTGGTGGTGGTGGCTTCTTGTTGCTCCGTTTCGTCTCGTACACTTTCACTTTACTTTCTTTTTTTGATGGGCATGTCTAGTCCTTTTCGACCCTTCCTGTTTACGTCACGACCTCGCACAGTCCAGCAAGCTCCATACACAGTATCCCGTAGAAAAAAAGATGGCGTGGACTACAGTATATATACTGTACCGAATACTTAGAGCAAGTTTAATAATATAGTCAACTACTAGCTCTAAATTCATCTATAACCAATCTAATAGCTCATTCATACAATAGTTATATACTACACTATTAATAACTGGTCTCACATGTCATACACACACTGTGTCTTAGAGTCCGTACTACAGCTAGCCAGCTGTTCTTCTCTCTGTTAATCTTCTTAAAATATGTTTATAGCTGACTTATAGTCTGCTATTGTACCTGCTCTTAGAGCAAGTTTTATAGCCAACTACTAGCTCCAATTCATCTATATAGCTAATCTAATACTCTCTATGTCCCAAAAAAAGGACAAACCGTGAGTTCCCGTGCCAACGTTTGACTGTCCGTCTTATATGAAATTTTTTTATAATTAGTATTTTCATTGTTAGATGATAAAACATGATTAATACTTTATGCGTGACTTATCTTTTTATTTTTTTCCATAATTTTTTTAAATAAGACGGACAGTCAAACGTTGGACACGAAAACCAGGGTTTATCTTTTTTTTGACGGAGGGAGTAGCTTATTTATATAATAGTTATCTATGAGCATATACTACACCGTTTCTTATAATCTAGAATAAAAAATGCATTGTTTGGGTAGTTTCCGATTCGACGAGAAACTAAAAACTCCCTCAAACGGACCCTATATGTTTGTCTGACAAAGCAGTTCGTGTTGCTTTATACTCCGTATTATACTCGTAATCGTGATGACAAATTTGACGTAGTAGGATAAAAGAAGAAGACGATTTTCTGGGAAATGATCAGATCAATTTGACGAAGATATTACTATATGCTGCCAAAAATTTTCTGGGAAAATAATACTACTAGTTGCCGCTTCATGTCCGACAAACTAGGAGAAGAAAAAGAGGCGGAGAGAGCCTAGTATAGCAGTACAGCTGTAGTCCACACACGCGAGTAGAGCCAATCCAGCAGCATGGACCCCCTTCCTTACTCAAAGCGAGGGTTGGACTAGCCTCGACGTTATCCATCCATCCATTGCCATCCACACAAACACAGCCGCATGGATCGCCTTCCTCCGCACGTCGCCGCCACGTGACACGAATCATCACCAACGCTCCAGTCACGTAGTACGGCCTAGCAGCATGCGCTGTTTTGGTTTGGAGTGTGTTTAATTAGTTCACACTAAAATTATAAGTTTAATTAAAATTAAAATTAAAAGTTTATGTGTGTAGAAAAAAATTTAATATAATAAAAAAAGTTGAAAGTTTAAAGAAAAAGTTAGAAACTAGATCAGGCCTTGCTTTGGTTTCCACCGCAAAAACAACGAGAGGTTTTGATTTGCGGGACAAATATCACGGGCGTTCCAACGCGTCGATCGTCACTGTACATGGAAATCGACGTGTGGCTGCGTTCGTTCTGGGGTAGGGAGTTTGTTTGTTTCCTTGTCTGCGCACGCGCTTCCCAAAGTATTAAACGGTGTACTTTTTACAAAAAGTTTCTATAGAAAAATTGCTTTAAAAAATCATATTAATCTATTTTTAAAGTTTAAAATAGCTAATACTTAATTAACAATGCGCTAATGGCTCACCTCGTTTTGCATATGTTCCTAATCTTCTCTATCTCCTTCTCCTCGAACACAACCCTACTCGCTCTTTACTGTATGTGTGTGAGCTCGATTTAGGCCATCTCCATCCCAATTTTGCTGGCGATTATGGATTGTTCAGAATGTTCAGTCCAATTATTTGTTCGGAATGTTCAGTTTGTTGTTATGCGTGGCAAAGCTAGCAGCAGGACGTACGGCACTAGTGGCAGGTGGTGAGAGCCTTGCGACACAAAAGTTGCAAGGGAGTAGTAATAAACACAGCTAATCTATGTTTATTATGCACAAGGTACGGACCCGACCGAAAATTGGCTTTATGGATGATGAAGCAACTTGATCAACTTGAAGAAATATCTTTCCCCAATTTGCGTAACTGCGGCTACAAATATCTTCTTCCTCCGCGCATGCATAGCTGTAACTGTAACTGGGCTGATTTTTCGATAATATTTCTCCTCTCGCATGCTTGTGTTTAGATCTGACTCCAACTCAGTCGTCAACTAATTTGCTCGAGTTAATTAGAGATTAACGTATAGCGGTGGAAATGTACAGCTCTGGATCCAAATCGATCAGCGCCTAAACTACGACTCCGCAAAACGCAATGGCAGGTCGGAACTGCTACGCCCATCTTTCTTCCACAGTATATTCATTGCTATTTTTCACAAAACTAGCTGGGTGGCCCGCGCAATTGCGCGGCTAGCACCCATATAAAATTATATATTTTTTAATATGATTTTACTTAAAAATTATTAAATAGTTATCTCGTTGTCTTAAGATTTTGAAAGACCAAAACTTATCATTCCCGTGTTTCTAATTTTATAGTTTTTAAAAGTCACATCAGTGGCTACCCCTTACTTCTATCATATTATTCTTTATTAGCTTGCTCGATCTATCACCGTTTCTATTCATTCTTAGAAACCTTTAAAAATTAGATGTTAAGACTTATAGTTTTTAGAGTTTATTGTCCTGTTGGGCTTTTTTTGTATAATTTCCAGAAATCCTGTCAAATGTTGTCATTATACTCCTCTACGACCGTCCACTGCATCTTCTCTTTATTGTCATTGCTATTTTAAAAATCGAACATAATTATCGTTTAGGATCATTTTTCTACCTTCTAGAAGTTTTGCCAAAACGTTAGCGACTTTGTCATTGTACTCCTCTACGACTCCCTGTTGCCGCTCTTCTTTATTGTCATTGAGATTTTAAAATCAAATATGATTATCATTAGGGTTTATTTTTTTACTTTTTAGAAGCCCGAACCATTAAAAATTTGACCTTATAGTTTTTAGAGTTTATTATCGCATTGGGTTCATGTTTTTTATAATTTTTAGAAATCCCTTTAAACGCTGCCGTCCTTTACGACCCGTCCGCCGCGTACTCTTTAGTATCATTGGGATTGTAAAAATCGAATATAACTATTATTGAAATTTATTTTTCAATTTCGAGAAGACCCACCAACCATTGGCGGCTCTGTTATTGTACTCCTATACGACCCGCTCGTTGCCTCTCATTTTTATTCTAATTGAGATTTCAAAAATCAAATATGATTATCATTGGGGTTTATTTTTTTTACTTTCTAGAAGTTCCTGCCAACCGCCTTGACCGATTGCTTCACAATCTGTCTGTCATCATTCCTTTTAATCGTCATTAGGATTCTATTTGGTGTTTTATTAATAGTTTTTAGAAGTCTCATCAACCGCCACCACTCTGCTCCTCTATCGGCATGTTACTTAATTAATCTCGTCATGTGTTTTAGATTGTCTTTTCTTTCAATAGTTTTATTTTCTTTTTCACCAATATTAGTTATTTATAAATTGTATTTCTAGTTGAAATCTTATTTTTCTTTTTCTAATTTCAGAATTTATTTTATTTTCCGTATTGTGTTCTTCTGTTTTTTTTATTTTTTATTTTCAATTTCAGTTGTTTCAAAATTGTATTCCTACTTTAACTCTCTTTTTAATTTGCCTAATTTCGGATTTTTATTTTATTCTTTATTCTAAATTTTAATTTATCTACTATTGGGTTCTTATAAGTACTCTTATTTCGATATTGCTTATATTTAATTCCGAATTTCAGTTAATTTTAAATTGTATTCCTACTTTGAACTCTTCTATTCTTTTTTATAATTTTGATTTTTTTTATTTTTTATTCTGAATTTTAATTAATCTCGTAGTGGATTCTTGTATGGACTCTTCTTTTAATATTCCTTATTTGTAATTCCAAATTTTAGTTATTTTTAAATTATATTCCTACTTGGGATCTTCTTTTTTTTTTAATTTTGGTTTTTATTTTATTTTTATTTCGATTTTGATTAATCTCGTATTGTGTTCTTATATGGACTCTTCTTTTAATATTGCTTACTCCGTTTGAATCTTTAGAACATGTCAATATATTTTTGCCAATCACTTTGCATTGCTTAATATATTTATCATATTTTATTCAGTCATAGATGGACGGGGAATTCTGTAATTAGTAATTAGTTTTGTATTCTAATTATCTATTCGGCTCCAACACATACTATATGCATGCAACGTGCATGTCCGATTCCTCATCAATGAAAATATTGTAATTACTTCTCAGTTTCCTATTAGAATTGAATAAGTTAGAGCAGTAGTTTCTATTCATATTCATATTCTTCAAATTAATCTACACCGTTAAAATCTAGTCAGTTTGTGATCTAACGGTTTAA